ATAATATTAATAATTTTATTGTTGTATCAAGATGTGACTTCCTTCTACTTAGAGATATAATGAAGGAAAACAGAAACTTTTGTTTACTCTTTATATCACCCACAGTCTCATTTATTATGAAGTATCAAAAGCTAAAGAGTTTATAAGAAATTTAAACGATTTTGGTGATTTCAAAACTTGTAGCGTCCCCCACCCCCTTACTTTGTCTTGACTGATATTATTAGTTATTGTATCTGAAGAATGTCCACGCTGTCTTGTTGTTCCCAGCACCAAACATAACTGTTTTTGTCCATGACTGAGTATCAAGGAGCACAGCGTGGCTGGCTATGTGATATACACATCACATTCTTTTGAAATATTTAAGCCGACAGCCTAAGAAGATGCCTATAGAGGCGGAAGAATTCACAGTTCGTAGAACAAATCGCAGAAACAGAGATGTCTGCAGTGCGTTCATCATGACGTGTGTGTCAGTTACTTTCGGTGCTGCTACAGCTTGTTCAATGGTGTTGGCGGTAGCAACCGATCACTGGCTCTTCACCTCGGAGCCTTACTTCTTCACGGCAGAGGAGCGGAGTATGATGAACCTCACAGACTTGAGCTCTATCCCTAAAGTCCCGATTCACGTCCGCTCTGGACTGTGGAGAGTGTGTACGGTCAACATCCTCAATGGTGAGTTTTTTATTTGTGCGTCTGAAGGCCATCTTTTATTCCCTTTTGGTGTTTTTGCTTGTCAGTCTGTCTAGTTTTTCCCCTAGCATACAATAGCCGTTTGCTTGTTTTTTAATATTAAACAAATAAAGTTAAGCTATTTACTTTCTGATTCTTGCTCTGTAACAGATTATTATATTTTTTTTTCGCAAGTTCAAATCAACTCTTTGACATTTTAAAAAAATCGTAACATTTTAAGCCCAGGTCGTAATCACGCAACTCCGACAACATATTATATCACCCTGCTAGACGCTGAGCCTTTTCAAAAAGGTGTTAAAGGTTGTTCTTTTGGAATGTCATTGTAAAAGTCTTCCCATCAGTGAGTCATTTCCTGCTTCCAGTGTTCAACAGACGTATATGCTACACATGCCATCAGCACAATCTGCCCCGACCCTGCCTGTCAGGGCCTGTTCCCACTGACTGAGACAGTGCATTCCAGAAGCAATAAGAAACACTGGATACAATGTTTCCTCACAAGAGATTCGAACTTTTGTCGTATGCATGCAACGCGAAAAGTCAGACTATTACACAATTGACTACGGTTTTGAATAATCAAGGACAGAGAATTGTATTGTCGCCTCCGGAAACCTAACCTACAAAGGCATTCGTCGTTAGCATCCAGTGAGAATATAATGCATGCTTCAGAACGCGTTAATCGCCCCCCCCCCCATCCCCACCATACTCCCCCCGACACAATTTAAATCCTGTCTGTCAGGGATGGCTTGGGCTTAGTGGGGTACAGCACCCTGAAAGATATATGAAGAAATAGATATCCCCTCATGGGAATAGACCATGAATTCTACGCGCAACTGCGTACGGCCAAAGCGTTTCAGAATAGACACTCATTTACATAATACCATGTCTAAGTGCATGTACATGTATAAAACATTCAGCCAACATTTACGTAATATTGCACCATGCATTTGGGGGGAGGGGGGCGGGGTAGCCGTTTTAGAGTCTTCCCCTTCTTTTACTTCTAAGGGCCAGTTTCTTTTGTCCTTATCTAATCGTAGTGATAAAATGACAATGCGCACACCGACCTGCTGCAAACTGCACTTAAACCATCATCAGAACTCGACGATCAATAACTTCTCAGATGCAACCGTAATTGTCGCCTAAACCCTCATTAGGCTGGTTTAGCAATGGTCAGTTTCAGAGACACACTCAAATATACTCAGAAGGCCATTTTACCATATAACTACTGCTTCTGACATTGTTTTATTTATTTGAGAATATGTTCTCCTTGACCCTTTGACCTGTGGTGGAAAAGCTAAAACACATTTAGCTAGCCATGTGCTCTGACGACAGAGTATAAGCATAACTTCCAAATACATCTCGAGGTTGGCAAACGTGTGCAAATCACGGCACCCCCTACCCAACTTAACTCCACCCAACCCTGAAAAAGAGTAAATGTAAATCGTCGGTGTAAGTCATCACTCTATTGATATGCCATGTTTGCTGTTACAACTATGCAAACAAACACGGATTGTGTAAAAATCCGGAAAGCTCTTTTTAACCCGCCTACTGCCAAGGGGAACACTCCGAACTATTTGGTACGATTACAGGGCAGGCCTGGCGGGGAATGGGTTAAAAGCGACAATGTTAAGTGCGATGATATAGATCATCTAGAGTCCACGCTTCCGTTTCACATTTCGGCAACTAGGACATCATGCTCTTTCTCTACGGGTTTTCATGGACCCAAAGCGGACAATCGTTCACCTTTATGGGAAATAAAACTTCTGTCTTGGAGTCCAGCATGACTTTAATCTTAGTCCACCTCTTTAACCCCATCGGCTAGAAAAACCCTCGAGACAGGCGTCTAGAACTTGAGTAAAAGCGGGGAAAGTATAACAAAGTAACGAAGGGACAAAACACTCCAAGAGAGATAAACCATGACAACGAACACAATCAATTCAGCGGGCGAGACAGAGAGATTAGGGCCAAACGACTGGCAGGAGGGGCAAAAATGATACCCCGTGCGGTAAAAATCAATATGACAACCCACCACAAAATAAATAATTCAAACCTTTAGCATACCAAGTCACTTTTATGCAAAAGAAGCCCCGACAGTACCTTCTAATTTGGTATTGTACTCGGATGGGTTCCCACCAGCAGGCCAGGTTTTCCTTTCTGCTGCCTACTTTGTCGAAAACCACTCAGAGACATGGGGAATATCCCTTCAGCCACCGTTGACTGTCTGCATCGAACGTGTTGTGGCGAGTGGGTTGAGGTGCCATGATGCTAAGCCTGACTCTTCTCTAACTCTTTTACTGACCACGCAGAGGACAGCACAATTTTTCATGCTTGTTTGTATGTTTACTCCACATCAAATTAGAGCTCGGTCATGGACACAACGAAAGTCTTCCAAATTGTCTCTGTTTGATTGCATTGTAATTACGTTATAAAATAAACATTAGCCTTGAAGAAAAATGTACTATTGCCTACCAAAGAGTAATGAGCACGGGTGCTCCCAGTTTGCACAGATGGCTGTTTCTCTGGGTGTATTTACATATTCCTGACCACTCTCCTCGCCACAGCAAGGTCCCAGCAGGGACACTCTAGTATACAGACGCCATGCCAGCAATGCATCACCCTGGGACTGAATATCAGATTAACTGGGAGGGCCCGTTGCAGATCTCGTGGCTAGAGAGTTCTGAGCAGTGTTTGACCCCAATAACGAGGGTAAATCCGTAAATATTGTACGAGGGGAAACTATTACCACGCTAGAGGAAGTATAATAACTGTATTAAGGAAAGGGTAAGGCCAAAGTAAAAAAGAATAAACTAAAGAGGAGCTGACCTGGAAGCAATCGGTCAAGACACATGGGTTGTCGGCAGGTGCTCTTGTGTTGTCAACTTAGAGTATTCCTTTCAGCTTAATTGTTGTCCTAATCTGTTTTCTTGTAAAACGAGACGCGTTATATCATAGCAAACAAACCTGAAGAAATAACAGCTTAATAACGACCATCTCATAAGTCTGCTTTTTAAAAATTGCTGGGCATTATGATATGGTACTACACATTGGTAAAATTTTACTAAATGATGCCTCATGTTAGAGTAAAAAAGAAAAAAATAACCCATTAGAAAGATGTTTGCCACTCAGTTATACAGAGTCTTTTGCAGTTTTGTTGTAAACCGTTTACAGCCCCATCGAAACATAATATAAAAAAAATTATGGTTCAGACGTTTCCCTGTTTGAGGTACATCCCAGCAGAAAGAAGGGGATACTCAAACAACTCTTCAGCTCGAGGAAACAAACTCACGCCGTTTGCTTAGAAGGCAAATTGTCTATCCAGTGCACTGCAGACACAGGTAATATTATTTCTAAAGAATAAATCAGCCACACTCAGTGGACTCAAAACTTTTCAGGAGATCGATATAGTTGTTGCAGATAACTGAATAGCAATATTTTTAAAATCACAGATAGATTGACAGGCCTAAAGGAAAATTTGGTATTGTCGAGGTATTCACAAACTACATAAATGTAATTAAAAATAATTAGTCATAGTATTACGGTACTGAACATGAAAACAGTAACCCCACAACCCCCCCCCCCCCAAGAAAATTTAAAACAACAACAACAGAATGCTTTATTGTGTTAACGTAGTCTTCTTTAAGTAGGGGCGGTAAAGCTTTGAACGCACAATTTAAAATTGAACGGGCGTCTGGCAGGACGTTGTATGTTGAAGACATGACTTATTACTTCGATTCCCGGGAGGAGACCTGGTTTTTTTTCATCGACTGACTGGCAGGGTAGAAGAATCCTACCTCCAAGATGATCTGAATTGTGTTTGATGGGAGCGTAAAACAATTTAACAAAATGATTCACATCTTTGTCTGATAGGATGCTTTATCTTTAGAAAAGGTAGTCTATCCTTCTATTTTTCCCCCCCCTGCACACTGGGATGCAAATGGATACTTGACAACCAGCATAAATTGAATGCCTCTTTTTAAGAGAATGACAACGATACATTTTGGGCTTGGAAATCTTTAGAGAGGTCATCCATTTAAGTATTCGCATATATTGTTGCATCACGTTGTACAAAATTGGTCAAACTAAGCTGTGCTTAATCTTACAAAATATTATTGATAAATCAAAAGTATAGTCAGAGCTCGACGAAGAACACAAGTAATATCATATTCTATAATGATTTGTATGAAGTATCTTACACCTGGGCACACACAATAAACACAAATCTACTCTAATGTGATTTTACAAACAAGATTTGCAGTTCCTTGGTTAGATTCTTTAATGTAGGTCCTGTCTTAATGTACGTTTCCTGTTTTGCATTTGGTGGTCTTTGAAAGGCCCATTTAATCTTGTAAGCTTGACGAGATGAAAAGATACGTTTAAAAAAATATGTATTCAGCGGAATGTCTCGATTTCTCCAAGAGCTAAGATATGAAGGGTTTTTGCACACAACTCTGTTCAGCCTTTGTTTTTGGTGGGTTTTTATTGTTGACACAACTTGCTGTTTTTTGATTTTCTAAGAAAAAAAATTAATCTCCTGTCGCTAAGTAAACCAACGTTTCTTTTATATTATGTTTTCTAGGGGGCTCTCTTATCTTGACCATGCAATTGATTTTTTAAGCCGTTTTGGCTTTCCAAAGTCTTCATTGTTTTAATTGATACCACGAAAAAATAGTGCCGATCCCACCCCCCCCACTACGCACGTATCTCGACTTTAGAGCAAACAGTAGACTTTGATTCAACATTGTTGGCGAATCCTGTTTTGGACACAATATATTAAACAGGGTCAAAGAATAATAATTATCATTTTCACATTATTTAACGGCATTTCCGTAATTTCCCCGTTCTTGTGAGTCTGATTTGAATGTTCCCAACGCCCTTTTCTGACAGTTCATAGCTTCTGAAGCCGAACAAAATAAGTGTATCTCATCTTGTAGTATTACAGTCAAACCTACTCTTACGGCCATCTGTATAATACCCTGTACAAACGG